AGGCCGCCGCGTCCGGCCGGCTGCTGCTCCGGGTGCGTGAGCCGCGCCGCCCGGCTCCCTGCGCCTCACAGAGCGGTGCCGGGGAGTCCGGTGCGGGGAGCCTGCCGGCCGTGTCCGTGGGGTCCTCGGAGCTCTCAATTGGCACCTCGTGGCGTTGCATGGACCTGGTGGGCTCTGCCCCTGCCCTACCTGCAGGCTTTGTGGCACATCGATGGCTGCAGATGGCGGAGAGATGAACAAGGGATCTGGAGGGGGAAGGAGTTGGCCACAGAGCGGTGCCGGGGAGTCCGGTGCGGGGAGCCTGCCGGCCGTGTCCGTGGGGTCCTCGGAGCTCTCAATTGGCACCTCGTGGCGTTGCATGGACCTGGTGGGCTCTGCCCCTGCCCTACCTGCAGGCTTTGTGGCACATCGATGGCTGCAGATGGCGGAGAGATGAACAAGGGATCTGGAGGGGGAAGGAGTTGGCCCCCAGGGCAGGGGCTGGTGGGATCTTGGCAAGGGGGAATAGCCCCCTTACTCCCCATGGAATCATTCTCATTCGATAGAATGGGGTGAGGAGAGGGGTTCTCATGGCTGGGATCTGTGGGGAGGGTGATGGGGGAGTTGTGGGTTCATTTGCAAAGATCTGCCTGCGCTGGGGGTTTATTCCAGGCTAGTGATGTTAGATATTGGGTAATAGAATAGTCGACTGACTGCGTGAATTCTTAGCAGTTAGTCGACTGTTCTACAGTCCCCAGGGCCAGCAACCAATCTGTCTGGCCACCTTCCCAGGGACCCCCCTGCCATCCCATGCTGCTGCCTCCTGTATCAGAGACAGTAGTGCAGGGTGCCAGGCAGGAGACAGTCCACAAGGGGAGCCAGTTTAAACATCAGCTCCCCTCACAGACTGACTTCCTGTTGCCCCGGGCTGCAGGCGGACAAAAGCTGCTGGGGGCGGGGAGGCTGCTGCTGCAAAACCACCTGTGTCCACGGCCGGCCCAGGCTCACTGTGGGCGGAGGCTGCCCTCCCTCCCTGCGCTGCTCCCTCTAATAGAGGCAGCAGTGTGGGGTGGGGGGGACAGGCAGCATTGCAGAGCCAGTGTTGGGGGGAATTGGCTTTTAAGCTTCTTCCCGCCCCGGCTGCCTCTGATACAGAGGCAGCAAGGGGGTAGGGAATGCGAATAGTTGACTAGATTGACTGACGAACCGAGGCTTATTGGTTAATCGTACAGTGACTACTCATTCACATCCCTACCCCAGGCGTGTGGGTGTGGCAGCACTGACGTGGGTCTTCTCTCTCCTTCTCTCCAGGCCACACATAAGATCCAGAACACGATGCCCTCCG